ATTGAAAGTCGATTTATAGTAATATTCTGATGATATTCCATTCTTTTTTGACTTCTAATTGCATCCAATTGACTCCCATCAATCTTTAAAATATCTCTTATGGTCCAATTCAATCATTGGATATTTGCAATTTGGTCTTCAACTTTGTACTTCACCATTTTTCACCGTTTTTCACTTCTTTCTTTCGGTTTAACTTCCAACCGTCGAGTTTTACCTAATAAATGAAATATACAACAAATTAGGCTATAATTACTTTAAAGACCTATTAAATGTCTATATTTTTAGGTCTACATAAGTGTATAAAATACACTTATCAAACACCCCCAAATTTAAACATTTGTTTGTCCTCAAACAAAATCATAACTTAACTTAACAAACACACAAACATGTAAAATATTTTGGTTGGATAATCTAGCTTTTTACATCGGGAATGGAGATCACCATATTAAATTTACAAACTGATTCAAAGTCACAACACCAAACCAATATCTTTTTTTTTAATGCAAAATCGACGTGTGTGTGTGAAGAACTAGGTAGACATTAATGACTTCACAAGTTGTTCCAATTTCCGACCCTCTATGGTCAAATTTATCCTTTCATCTCTCGTAAAATTCACATACCTCCAAACTTATTTTTTTCACTCTTTCCTCAACGTGTGATCTAAGATTGAGTTTTTCATTACTATCATCACCCTCTCCAATTTGGGTAGATGTCACTAGTTGCAAGTCAACACATCAATAAATAAGGATTCTCCAATTATTTGATTGCTTCAATTGCAGGACTCAACTAGGCTAATTATTCTTCATCGAAAGTCAAATTCCTTCGAACAAGTGTTAGGACTTAACAAGGCATTTAATGCAATTTATGATGATTATTATTTTATTTTTATTTTTCTTGCACTCTCCCTTAAGCTTTCTAGATGACCCGTGTAGCAAGTTTTAGACCGATGACTCCCAAGTCAAACGACTTTAGGGCACCAAGTTTTTAAACCCCCTTACAGGCTTAATAACCCGAGTCATAAAGGTTTCGAAGAGAACAATTATTATTATTTTTTCAATGACAACTTCATCTTTGATTGCTTTCTAAATTACCCCTGTAACGAGTTTTAGACCGATGACTCCCAAGTCAGATGATTTTAGGACATCAGGTTTTAAGATACCCATACAGGCTCAATTGTTCGAGTCATTAAGGCTTCAAAGAGAAGTTTTAAATTCTAAAATAAATGCCTTGATTAGTGCAACGCCCCTTATCATACACCTATTCAAGAAAACTAACCTCCAACCCAAGACTTTCGCCCAATTTTATCCTGTTCATCTCAAATAATTTTTTTTTTCACTCAAGGAATCCTTGACCACATCCGTATTTTCCTACAATAGTAAAATCGCCCCAAACTGTGCTAAATTTGGTCTAATGATAATTAGTTTAGTATAATTTGGGTAAAGCATCTATGTCCAACTAAATCCACCTATCAAGAGCATGAAACAACTCATTTCATCATAATGTCAAATTCAATTCTAGTGCGCGTATAATATCAACTTTTACAAAGTTAAACTTCAATCACTCTAGCATGTAATATATCCACAGTTCATAAATTAACACTAAATCTCAATTTAGATCATTATTGCCGACTAGGCTATCCAACCCACACAAGCACGCAACTTAATAAAAAAAATTTGTTGTTGTTTTTTTTTTTTTTTTTTGGTTTTTTAAGTAGAACTAAACAAACGCACCAAAACAAACAAGCATACGAAAACCAAAAAACCCAATGTTTTTTCACCCCCAAACTTGAACCCGACATTGTCCTCAATGTCATAAAGCAAAAGTAAGAGTATAAGGGAATGAAGAAGAAAAGGAAGAAAATACTCCCCGAAGTTTTTTGTTGAATACATGAGGCACTATGGATGACAGTTCGACAATCTCTGTCATCATATTTCTCCTTTGGTCTATGTTGGTTTGAGTGTTCCACGACGTCATGTTCCTGACATAGCAGTTCAAATCAAACATTAAAGTTCAAATAACCTGAAACATGTGTTACTTAACCCAAACAATCAAAATACCAACAATAAATTAAATGGCCTAAGGGGAATATTAAGGATGGCGATACCCTACAAATTAAAACGTACATAAATTTAATGCAACCTAGTAATCAAAACAAATCTATATGCTACGCGATGCAGAAAGCAAAATAAATAAAAAAGTTAGAAGTTGGATTGCCTCCCAATCAGCGCTTAATTTATAGTCTTTAGCTAGACTATCAACGGCGCCAAAAACTTGATCGATCATTTTGGGTTGTGAAGTTGGGTAAGTGACTTCTTTTTATCAAATTCACCACCCCAATATGCTTTCAACCGCTGCCTATTTACTTTCAAGGTTCCTTTTGTCTCGTGAGTCAATTCAACTACCGCACGTGGAAAGACTTCAACAACTGTGAATGGTCTAGACCATCTAGAACGTAATTTTCCTGGAAAAAGTTTCAACCTAGAATTGAACAACAGTACTTTTTGACCTGAATTGAACTCATGCCTCTGGATGTACTTATCATGCAGTTTCTTTTTCCTTTCCTTGTAAAGTTTTGCATTCTCATAGGCATTCATTCGAAATTCATCCAACTCATTCAACTGTAGCACCCTCTTATCTTTAGCTGCTGTCAAGTCCATGTTTAACTGCTTTACTGCCCAATATGCTCGATACTTCAACTCTACTGGAAGGTGACGAGCTTTTCCAAATACAAGGTGATATGGTGACATGCCTAATGGTGTTTTGTAGGCAGTCCTATATGCATATAATGCATCGTCAGGTTTTCGGGACCAATCAGTTCTTGAGCTATTCACTGTCTTCTCGAGAATTCTCTTTAGTTCCCTATTTGACACTTCCATCTAGCCACTTGTTTGGGGGTGATAAGGTGTAGCAACTCGATGTTTCACCCCATGTTTTGCTAATACTAATTCCAAAAGTCTGTTGTATAAATGTTTACCACCATCGTTCGAGAAGTGTCAAAGCGCAAGAATATGTTCTTCTTCAAAAAATTCACAACCACTCGAGCATCATTAGTTGGTGCTGCTACTGCTTCTACCCATTTCGATACATAGTCAACTGCCACCAACACGTACTGATTTTTATAAGAAGAAGGAAATGGTCCCATAAAATCAATCCCCCAAACATCAAAGAGCTCTACTTCTAGAATCGAATTCAATGGCATCTCATTCTTTTTGGAGATCGTTCCTGTACGTTGGTATTGATCACAGTGTTTCACATATTCATGTGTATCCTTAAATAGTCACGACCAATAAAACCCTGATTGTAAAACCTTTGCTACTGTCTTGGAAAGCCCAAAATGCCCAGCATAAGCAGAAGAGTGGCAACACTCCAAAATTTTAGGGACCTCTTCATTTGGTACACACCGTCGAATGATTTGATCAGCACCCCTCCTGTATAAGATGGGATCCTCACAATGATAATATTTCAGTTCTGAAAAGAATTTCTTCCTTTGGTGGTGTGTAAACTCAGGTGGAAGCACATTACACGCCAAGTAATTTACTATGTCCGCATACCATGGCCCACTCTCAATTGCAAAGATACGCTCATCTGGGAAAGAATCCTTTATATCACCCTTGTCTTTCCGTTCTGCTTGTTCAAGTCTTGAAAAATGGTCTGCTTCCACATTTTCAGATCCCTTTTTGTCTTGGATCTCCAAATCAAACTCTTGAAGGAGGAGTATCCATCGAATCAACCTGTGCTTCGCATCCTTCTTAGACATTAGATATTTCAAGGCTGCATGATCTGTGTAGACAATAACCTTCTGTCCCATGAGATATGATTTGAATTTATCGAAGGCAAACACAATGGCCAATAGCTCATTTTCTGTGGTTGCATAATTCAGCTGTGCCTCTATCAACGTCTTGCTTGCGTAGTAGATAACATGGAGAATTTTATTCTTTCTTTGACCCAATACTGCCTCCACTACATAATGACTAGCATCGTACATCAATTCGAATGGCAGGTTCCAATCTGGTGTAGCTATAAACAGTGTAGAAATTAACTTTTCTTTCAGAGTGTTGAAAGCTATTAAACACTGTTCAGAAAAGTTGAATGGTCTGTCCTTTTCAAGCAAGTTATAGAGCGGCTTTGTGATTTTAGAGAAATCCTTAATAAACCTCCTATAGAACCCTGCATGACCGAGGAAGTTACGTACTCCCTTAACTGAAGTTGGTGGAGGAAGCTTCTCTATCACCTGAATCTTTGCTCTATCCACTTCGATACCATTTGCTGAAATCCTGTGCCCAAGTACTATTCCTTCCTGTACCACTTCTCTCAGTTTAGCACCAAATTCGTTTCTTCACAACGCTGTAAGACCATTCCCAAATTTGAGAGACAATTTTCAAATGATGAACCAAACACTGAAAAGTCGTCCATGAAGACTTCAATAATTTTCTCCACCATATCTGAAAAAAGTGTCATCATGCATCGCTGAAATGTGGCAGGGGCATTACACAACCCGAGTGACATCCTTCCGTATGCAAAAATACCATAAGGGCATGTAAATGTAATCTTCTCCTGATCTTTAGGAGCTACTGCAATCTGATTGTAACCTGAGGACCCATTCAAGAAACAGTAGTGTGAATGTCCAGCTAGTCTCTGCAACATCTGATAGATAAAGGGCAAAGGAAAGTGATCCTTTCTAGTTGCATTGTTCATCTTTCTGTAGTATATGCATACTCTCCATCCAGTGACTGGTCTTGTGGGTATCAGCTCATTGTTCTCATTCTTTACCACTGTAATACCTTCTTTCTTCGGAACAACATGGATTGGACTAACCCATTTGCTATCAGAAATCGGATAGATGATGCTTGCATCAAGGAGTTTCAATATCTCTGGTCGCACAACGTCCTTCATGGCGGGTTCAATCTGCTCTGATTTTTCACTGTTGGCTTATACTTTTCTTCCATCAAGATTTTGTGCATGCATATCGATGGACTGATTCTTCTTATGTCTGCTATAGACTACCCAATGGCTATTTTGTGTTTCCTCAAGACCCTGAGTAATCTCTGCTCTTTTAACTCTGTCATCTCATTTGCAATAATCACTGGGAGTGTAGACGACTCTCCTAGATATGCATACCTCAGATGTGATGGCAATTGCTTGAGCTCAAGAATTGGTGCTTTCTGAACAGAAGGTAGTGGTTTACTTGGTCCTGAACCAAGCTCCTCAAACTGTCTTCTCCTGATGGGTGGAGCAGATTTCATAATGTAAGTGATCTGACTTATCACTTCAACTGTTGATGTTTTATCTCGTGAGTACACAAGAAGATTCTCCAAGTGGTCTTGAGGATGCTCAAGAATGAAAGTCTCTTCCACAGTCAAATCCACCATATCAATGCGCAAACAACTATCTGATTCTGTAGGATACTTGATAGCACTGAAAACGTTGAATGTCACATGTTCATCATTTAATTGCAATATCAATTATCCTTTCTAAACATCTATTAATGCTCAACATGTTGCGAGGAACGGTTTTCCCAATATCAATGGCACCTCTTTATCCTTTTCAGCCAATCTAGGATGCGAAATCCGTGGGATAAATAAATTTATCGACCTTCACCAATATGTCTTCAATAATTCCCCTGGGAAATTTTATGGACCTGTCTGCCAACTGCAATGAGATCGATGTTGCCTTCGCCTCTCCTAAGTTTAATTTCCTGAAAATAGAATAAGGCATGAGGTTAATACTAGCACTTAAATCATAGAGAGCTTTATCAAATTTCATGTTACCAATAGTGCAAGGGATAGTAAAACTTCCTGGGTCCTTTAGTTTAGGTGGTAGCTTATTCTGTAAGATGACACTGCATTCTTCATTAAGCATCACTGTCCCCAAATCTTCCAGCTTCTTCTTATTTGTGAGTATTTCTTTTATAAATTTCGCATAGCTAGGCATTTGTGCAAGTGCATCCACAAATGGTATATTGATCTGGAGCTTTTTGAATACCTCAAGAAACTTCGAAAATTGCTTGTCTAACTAATGCTTCAGTAGCCTATGTGGGAATGGGAGTGGTTGAACCATTTCTTTGGTGGAAGCGGGTTCCTTAACCTTTGGTTCCTCTGGTACTTCTTCTTGTTCTTTGTTCGGTGTAGATTCCTCCAAATTTTTCTCAACCCTGGTAGGTACCTTCTCTTGTGTAGCAACCAACCTTTTTACATTTATTTTAGGTAGTTTTTTATGGCGGCGCCCTGAACTTCCAAGCTCTTATCCGTTCTCTGCATGTGTTGAGTAGATATTTCTGCTAACTTAGTCACAAGATCTTCTAACGAAGACTTCTTCTCATTCTGCTGAAACCCAGGTGGTGCGGTTTGCTGTGGCACGATCTGAGCTCCCTGATTATTACTCCATTGAAAACCTGGGTGATTTCTCCAGCCTGGGTAATATGTGTAAGGGTTTGGATTGTGTTGTTGCCTTTGAAAATTCTGAGTGTAGTTCACGTCTTCTATCGTCTGAGCAAAAGGAGATCCTACGTTACAATCAACACTCTCGTAGTTTCCTCCACAATGTTTGCATTTCGGTCCCACTGTCTGGGCTACATTCATCTGATCTACCTTCTGTGCCAATGATGCCAATTGTGCTAAAAGTGCTGTTAAAGAATCAACTTTGAATACCCCAGCAGCTTTCTCTCCACTCGTTCTTTCAGTAGGCCAAAGTGCACTGGTAAATGCCAAATCCTCCATGATTTGCTAGATCTGGTCCGCGGTTCTTTTTGTGATAGAACCATCGCACGCAGAGTCTACGTTAGCCCTGCTAATCGGGTTCAAACCAATGTAAAAGTATTGCACTTGAAGCCACTTCTGCAATCCGTGTTGTGAGCACTAGCGAAGTAAACCCTTGTATCGTTCCCAAGCCACTGAATAGCATTCTGAGTCCATTTGCTGAAAAGTGGTGATCTCGTCCCTTAGCCTTGCAATATTTTTTGGTGGGAAATATTTGCTAAGAAATTTCTAACTCAATTGGTTCCATGTTGTGATGCTCTGCGGTGGGCAAGTGTCTAACCATTCCCTTGTTGAATCTCTCAATGTGTATCGAAAGAACCTTAGTCTAACTGCTTCGCTTGAAACCCCGGATACTCAATTATTACGCACATGTCCAGAAATCTTGATATATGAGCGTTGGGATTCTCTGTAGCTTTCCCAAAAAATTGTAGTGCATTTTGGAACACGTTGACAACATCTATCCTCAGGTGGAAGTTTGCCTGACCAAACGTCGGATATACGATACTGGACTGACTGTCCACTATTGGTGGAAACATATACTCTCCCATGAGCCTTGCATTTTCATTGACTGTAGTGATATTCCGTTGTACTACTCCTAGATTAGCCCCGATGGCTATTTGATTCGAATTTTCGTTTGCATGTCTTCCTCTTTCTATTTTTGATGTGTTTCAAGCTGTTGTCTTCTTCGAAAGTTGAATGTTCGTTCGATTTCTAGATCAAATTGAGCAAAATCACCAGTTCTCGAATTTCGCATACAAAGTCTTGAAAAAGAAAGTAAGAAACACTGTAAAAATTTTCTAAATTAATGAACTAAACTAAAAATAAAAAAAAATTCAGATTAAAATTAAAATTAACTAAAACTAGTAAAAAACAATAGTCCCGGATAATGGCGCCAAAAATTTGATCGATTGATTGACTGCAAGTGAACGAGATCGTGAACAAGTAATAAAGTGGTGTGTAGAGTATCGAACCCACGAAGACTATGTGTTTGATCGAGTTAAAGCTAATAATTCCCCCAATCAAATAACAAGGTCGAGTTGTAACTAACACTATTAAATCTATCAACTAAATAGAAAGCAAGTAAAAGTTTATCAAATTTGTGAAAAGTATTGCTAAGATGTGAAATCCCCCTTGCTACTCCATTTTTAGTTCGACAATTTAAATTGACAATTTGAAATCATGCTTGTTGGTCAATGTTCGTATTTTAATTGAAAACTTCTCTTGATGGTTATCAAATTTATTCCCCTCATGACACCTTCCTATCCCTCGATGAAAGATGCGAACATGATAAATGCATTAAACGAGTTCGAACATCTTATAAAAACCATATGAAGTATAGAGGTATATCTCTATCCTCTATCGAACCTCACAATATTTATTATTTTTGTGCTAATGATCCTATTGTCTCTCTCGATATCAACAAAATTCACAAACAATTCAACTAGTGACCAATTAATTGAAAAGCGTGAAAACGATAATAAACATCCAAACAATTAAACAATTTAACGTCAATTAAATTATTCAAATTAAAAATTCATAACAAGGGTTCATCACATCCTAGCAAATATGAAAAATTAGCCTAACATATTTAAATTACAAGAAATCATATATAAGTGGAAAGATATAACCCGAATTTTTGATAAATTGAGAAGATTAAGACAAATCTTGAAATCTTGAATCTCTTCAAAGGTTTCTTAATAAATCTCCATTTGCACTCTCTCTTCTTTGTTCAATATCAAGTTTGAATCTTCACTTGATTGAATTCTTGCAAGTCCCCTTCAATTCTCTCACAAAAACAATGAATTCTCCTCCTTTGATGATGATAATTGATGAATATTGGAATATATTATGTATAAGAGAAAAGTATGAGAGCCCCCTTTTGTGTATTCTCCTGTTGGGTATCTATAGTGGTCGAAAATTGTTGAAAAATCACGTCCAAATTGGTTTCCAAAAGAGTTCCAATCGAATAAGGAAAGTTACACTCACGCGCAGATTTTTTGTCTCTGCACAACAGTCAGTATTTTGATCATAACTTTATCTCCCACTATCTGATTGAGTTGATTGAAAATGCGTTGGAAAGCTAACTAAAAGGGCTACAATTTTTCTACAAATAGATATTTTCCAATTCGGACGTTTACTATGACAAAAATTGGTCGCAATCCTTGACTAAAAATCTAAAAAATATATCATGTAATTGGAAGTCGATTTAGGGTAATATTTTGATGATATTTCATTCCTTTTTTACTTCTAATTGCATCCAATTGACTTCCATCAATCTTTAAAATATCTCTTATGGTCCAATTCAACCATTGGATATTTGCAATTTGGCCCTCAACTTTGTACTTCGCCATTTTTCGCCGTTTTTCACTTCTTTCTTTCGGTTTAACTTCCAACCATCGAGTTTTACCTAATAAATGAAATATACAACAAATTAGGCTATAATTGCTTTAAAGAACTATTAAATGTCTATATTTTTAGGTCTACATAAGTGTATACACTTATCATATTATATCAAGCATTGTAAAAAATTTAGCACCGAAACACGAGTGCAATCCTCCAAAAACTTGAGGACACAAAACAAATGATATAGAATATGAATGTAAATCGATGGGTTGATTCAATGTGGAAAGATATGTGAATCGTCTTACACCTTTGGCTTGAACATAGATCCCCTATACATAGGCCTTGACCAAATGTACTAAATGGTGCCAAAAAATCTAGTGAAAAGCCACCAATTTTAAATTTGCAACAACCATAAACGACCAAAAAAGGTCGAATTATTACCATGCGACCGCATGGCTGGCCTCTCTTTTTCTTCCCTTTTTTTTCTTTCATTCCACTTGTTGATTTTGAACAATTCACAACAATTTTTATGTGTGCTTGCAAAATTCGGTAGTTTGTTATGTTTAACTGGATATGACGCGGGTGAATCACCGAAAATAGGCCTTTATTGTCTAAAATTTAATGTACCAAACATTTCTTGCACTGCTACTTTATATGTGGAATTGCATTCAAAGCTACTTGCATTCGAATAAGATGGAAAATGATTTAGTTGAATTATATATTTTCCAATAAACACAATGTGAATAGATCGGAATGATGAAAAATGATTCAGAACTCGGGTTTATTGAAAATAAGATATTTTTATTAACTGATGCACGTAAGGTGCATGCATGTCGTAAATACCTAGGAGCTGAATATGCATTCTGTATGTTCCTTGCCTACAAATCTACTACTACAAGGAGCACTAAAAGAGCTTGCAAAATTTAATGCCGAATATATCTTTTTTTCCAGTCTACTAGATTTCTTTAATGTGGATGAGATTTTATGTCCCTACCAAAGTATATTAAATTTATATTTTAGTGGTTTGGTTTTTAAAAAATAACTACGAGTAAAAATCAGAATAATTAACATAATCCATGAAAAGAAACAATTGATATCCATAAATAAAAAATTTTCAAATCAAATGTTATTAGCAAACGGAAATGATCAGGGATGGATTAATTCGGGAAAGGAAAAGACATCCCCTCACGCACTGATCAATCTACGTACCTGCAAAACCATAAACCACGACATATATACGATGAGCCAGACCTCACATAATTTTCAAGAAACATAAGCAGCTTATTTGTTAAACTATATTGAATTGGACAGTATGTTAAATAAATGTTTTGACATCTTCTCTTCTCTATAATAATTTCTAGTACTGCTTATCCTCCCAAAATGTATGTATGCAGTGTATGTAAGCAGGGAGCGATTCCAATATAAAATGATTTCTGTTCAGCTTTTGTTGAAAAGAAAAAATTACTCCATTATAGAATAAACTTTTTTGTCCGTTTCAATGCAATGAGTAGTAAGTGGTTGCAACAATTTATGTAAAGACATATTTGAGTACATTCGATAAGCTCGACTCGATTGCATAAATAAATTGAAAAGAAATATGTGAGATGTTAGTCGGGTGTAATAATGAAGTACTTAACATGTTCATTAGATGCAAATGAGCTAGATAGAGAACTTGATTTGAGATATCAATGTGACTTCAGTGAGTGTATGAGAACACATGCTCAAGGCCTTAAAAGAAATTAACACCGAACCATCTAAATTAAAAATTTAAGTTGTTAAAGGGATTGGCAGACTTGTTTATTTAGATTTTATATTTTTTCTCGTGGATTGGCAGACTTATTCATGATCTCATGATTGATATGGACGACTCTTAAACTTAAAACCTCAACTTATTTCAATATTGTATTAATCCACTTCGTCTAAAAGTTTCAATTTCTAGACAAGAAGTTACGAGTTAGGGATTTGAGATCATGAGGTGAAATAGCTAGTACCGTAAACCACATCGTTCTAAAAAGTAAAAACTTCCAGATGATCGATTCAACAAAAAGCTTATAAGATCAAGAAGTGAAAAAGCTAGAATACTCGACTTGATCATACTTAGAGAGAGCAAGTGTAGCCAGGAGGTGGTGTCTTTCCACACGTGACAAGAAGCTGAAGTGCAAGTGGGACGAAAATGTTAAGATTTAAAAGTTTAAGCTTAAGTGTGGTGCATAAACAAACTGCAGCTTCAAGTTCCACAAGCCCTTGAAGCACTGGGCAGCACTGATTAACCGCAGGGTCCCCAAGCCCAATGTGCACCAGCCCACCAAGTAAATCCACACAAGCACCAAGTTTTAATGTGTCAATGGGACATGTTACTGATTGCAAAGCCGCAGGTGGTGGTGGTGGGCAGGGTGTTCCCTTTCCCTTTGGAGGCAATGTAACTGGAGGGGTCACTATCGGCGGCAGTGTTACCGGTGGTTTGACTATTGGTGGCAGGGTTCCTGGTGGTTTGACTATCGGCGGCAGGGTTCCTGGTGGTTTGACATTTGGTGGATTTTTGGGTTTCTTGTGTTTTGGTGGGGGATTGGAACAGTATCCACAGCCAAGAATGGGAGTGGCTGAGGAAATAAAGAGCATGGAAATGAAGAGAAGGGCAGTTATTTTAGAGGACTCCATGATTTGATCCTCTGAGGGATAAAAGGAAGAATATGGGTGGTGGTGGAGTGGCGGAGGACGGTGACGTTATATAGAATGAGGAGGAGCGAGTGGGTGGTGTAACAAAATAGATTAAAAAACCATAGGGAAACCGAAGCACGTGAACACAAAGGGAGCTGCCAAAATTTGATAGTTGTAAGAAATTATTGAAAGTATAAGTGCAAAAGAGGTCAAAAGTTGAGGACTATGTGCCTGCAATTTCCCAAAACATTTGCTTATAAATCTTGAATTACACTTTTCCTAGTATTAGTAGGTTGAAGATTTTAGATCCGGGAGCAGCGGTGGTTTTTGTCGTGCTATTTTTGTAGCATTTTTACATGCAATTGTATAAATGGAATATCATAATTTTCAATTTTTTCATTTTTATTATACATTTTTCTCAAAGGATAATTTGTACAAATTATCATGAAAATAGTTTTGAGTGCACGTCTTATTTTTAGATGGGTCTACGTTTTAGGAATTATATGCAAAAGAAAGTTGTTTTTTCTTTTTATTATGGATTGAATTTGAACCTTCTAAAAGGATAATAATTGAATACTGAATTATGCCACTGAGGTCTCAGAATACATGTGGCCCGGGAAGAGAAGAAGACATATTGACTGACTAAAATAAATAAATTTCTCAATCCAAATTAGACAACTATCTTATATTTTCTTACCATTTATTTATAAAGAATTATATATCTGTCAACCTTTAGAAAAAAAAAAAAAAAAAAAAAAAAAATTATTTTATAATGTTAAAAAAAAAAAAAAAAAAAAAAAGGTCCCAACGGTTGACGTAAGTGTGAAAGCGCTTTAACAAGCGAAATTTGAGGCTATAGAAGAGCCCATTTTTGAAAGGATGCTAGCGCTCCATTTCAGCTCATATCTAAGTTCCTTTCCAACGAAAGAGTTGGAAGTAAAAGTAAAAATGTGCTGATGTATAAAAAAGCAATGCACATGTTTTTCAGTGTTGCGATTTCCCATATTTACCCATAATATAGCTTCTAATATGAGATTTCACAAACTAATCTTCCTCACACTCACGCCTTCTGAGAAGTTCCTTAAATCACTGCGAGTCTGCAACCAATGGGCTTGTGTTTGTCTATCTCAAGGATCATTGGATTTGATCGGTGATATCAGTATTGTTTGTACATTACCAGCTACACACGGACGAACATCTCTAATAGAAATAAATAGCATTGCTCTTAGTGAAAAATATAAACCGAAATTTGTTTGTGCTTCAAAAAGCACGAAGCACATATAATTTTGATAAATAGATGATTTCAATAATCGACAATTACTAAAAAGTTATTTGCATTTTTTAAAGCTGAGCCAAAGTAGGGATGGCAATGGGACGGGACCCTCCACCCCGCCCCGTATCACCCAAACCTCGCCCTGCCCTGTCTTAGATGGGAGTGGACGGGGCACGGGGCGGGGACGGGGCAAAAAGTTGCCCTGTTTAATTTTTTTTTTACATTTTCAAACTTTCGAGTTATGTCATTATTAGAGAATAAAATACAAATTCAAAAAGAATTTTTAAAGGGGTGAATTGTTTAGAGATAAAATTATTTTTAATTTTTGTTTTCTTCCCCCCAGCCCCCTTCATGGGGCGGGTTTGGGGCAGGACATCCTCTCCCCACCCTGCCAACCCATTCTGGGGGCGAGTTTTTTTTGCCATTACAAAGCTGAACATGCACCTGCTAAGGAAATAAGTGAAAATGGCCATTTGACCCGTCCTTATTTCCACTTTGGCCTTTGAATGATTTTAAAAAAAAAAACGAAAACACAATTTAAATACACTTTTCCAAAAATACCCCCTCCATCTTCCTCTATCTCTATCAACAATTTGGAAAGGAAAAATCAGATTCACTGACAGTCGGCCATCCAGATATCTCCCTCACCAAAGAACTTCCGGTTGTCGGCTTTTAAGAGTTAGAAAGATTAGTTTTTGTGGAATTATAATTAGATTATTGGGTATTGTTGAGTTTTAGTTAGATTATTGGTTGGAATACGATTTTTGTTACATGAAATGCATTATTTAGGATAGATTTGCGCATAGATGAAGTGTATTGATCAATTTTTGGTGTTTGGGGAGCTCCAACTCTCCAGAAATGGTGGAATCCGATGAGTGGAGATGGACTTCGGTTGCAGTTAGTCGGCCGGCTATCAACAGTCGGCTGTTTAACATTCAGGTTTTTTTTTTTTTTTGTAATATGAAATTTCCTAAATTAATGAAAAGAAATTTGTTATTTTAGAATTTATTTTCAAATTAATTATTTAATCCGAATTTTGACTTTCTAATTTTATTTTTTATTTTATTTGAAATTTAAATTTTCATTTTAGTTATAATTTTAATTTAAAGAAATTTGCTATTTTAAAATTATTTTTCAAATTGCTTTTTTAATTCTAATTTCAACTTTTTATGTTAGATTTAATTGTAATTGTAATTTTATTTTTAAATTTACATTTTTTTAATCATAATTTTAATGTAAAGAAATTTGTTATTTTAAAATTAATTTCAAAATAGTTTTTAAAATCTAATTTTTTATTTATATTTTTTATTTAATTTTAGATTTTTATTTAATTTTATTTTAAATTTAAATTTTCATTTTAATTTAAAGAAATTTGTTAATTTAGAATTTATTTTCAAATTAATTATTTAATCCGAATTTTAACTCTTTAATTTTAATTTTAATTTTTTTATTTTATATTTAAATTTTCATTTTAGTTATAATTTTAATTTAAAGAAATTTTTTTATTTTAAAATTAATTTTCGAATTACTTTTTTAATTCTAATTTCAACTTTTAATGTTAAATTTAATTGTAATTGTAACTTTATTTTATATTTACATTTTTTAATTATAATTTTAATGTAAAGAAATTTGATAATTTAAAATTAATTTCAAAATAAATTTTTAATTCTAATTTTAAATTTTTATTTTTAATTTAATTTTAGTTTTTTATTTTATTTTACATTTAAATTTTCATTTTAGTTATAATTTTAATTTAAACAAATTTTTTATTTTAAAAAAATTTAATTTTAAAATTAATTTTTAATTCTAATTTCAACTTTTTATTTTAAATTTAATTGTAATGGTAATTTTATTTTAAATTTAAATTTTCATTTTATATAATTTTAATGTAAAGAAATTTGTTATTTTAAAATTATTTTCAAATTAAATTTTTAATTTTTATTTAATTTTTTATTTAATTTAATTTTAATTTTAAATTTTCATTTTAGTTATAATTTTAATGTAAAGATATTTGTGATTTCAAAAATACGGTTAAAAATTCGGTTCGCTTAATTTTGGGTTATTATGCTTCATTTCATTATTTCATGAATAATGTTCTAATATTTTGTTTCAATTTTTCCAGGATGGATTATCATCTGGATGCAGAGTTGAGACAGATGTCAGGCAAAGTTACGTGGAACAGTAACTTGAACAGCTTCACCCAGGTTTTGGAGCTGCTGGACGACCAACATGTAGATAGAATGCATCAGTCTTTTCTGTGGCCTCTATAACCTATGAGAGAGTAGCAGTATTCAGGTCAGATGATCGATGCTCTTTTATGTCGGTTGCTGAGTCCAGTTGACGGCGATGCCCTCCACTTCGACCTCGGGGGCAAAGTCGCTAGCTTTTCCATGTTCGAGTTTGCCCTACTTACTAGATTGAAGATTACGGGCGATGAGGCAGCTAGCGGCGGGACTCAGAGAAGAAATAGGCTACAGGACACTTACTTCCAGGGACAGGGGCGGTGGTTTTGCCTCAGCTGAAGGACGCGATCAGGAAGTGTGACGAGATGTTGGACAGACTGAAGTTAGGTTTGGTCTACATCATTGAGAGCGTGATGTGGTGTCACCACAAGAAGACTGCGATCCACCTCTTCCACCTCGAGATCGTCGACGACATAGATCACTTCAACAGCTATCCGTGGGGCTGTCGATGTTTCGAGAACACCGTCCACATTTTCACCAAACCGCACTCGAAGCCCAACACGTACAGATTCTCCTTGTCGCTGCAGGTAAATGATTAACGCAATCAATGTTAAAATATTTTTTCTATTGAATTTGTATGTTGCAGGTTTGGGCGTATGAGATCATCCCCGTATTAGGTACCCGCTTTGCGCGGCGAGATGAGACACGCTATCCTCGAATGCACCATTGGCGAGCATTTCGAGCGGAGGGATGTCCCACTGGGAAACAATTATCGGCTTTCCTAGATGACCCTCATATGAGTATTATAAATTTGTGATTTATATTGTACATAGTTTAACATTACATGATTTTATCTTTTTAAAATGTCAATATGACAACTTGAAGTAATAACTCATTTGACGCCGTCAATGGAGGAAAATGCGCAGGGTCTCGTGAGTGAAGTAGCGGTTTCGCACGCCTAGGACGACCAGATGTCCGATTCGATCCCCGATCAAGACTGGATAAGTGAATTATTGATTAATATTTTGTATGAGTTAGAAATTATTGAATAAGTTATTAATATGTAAGTTTGTGCAGGACCGCGAGCTAGTTGATCAGGCATCACCTTCGTCGGCAGCATCACCTCCGCTGAGGGCATCACCTCCGCCGGCGGCATCATCTCCACCGAGGTGTCACTTCCTCCCCATTAAGGTGATTATTTTGATGATCTGTACCATCGCCTGACTGGATTTATGGTGCAGGAGGTCGACGCGCTGCGTTGAGAGGTGGCAGGAGTTATAACAAGGGAGGTCGGCGCGCTGTGTCGAGAGTTGGGAGGAGTTATATCAGGGGAGGTCAACGCGCTGCGTCAAGAGCTGATAGGAGTTATATCAAAGGAGGTCGGCGCGCTGCGTCGAGATATGGTGGAGTAGGTCGACAGTTTGGGAGTCAGTTGGTAGGGAAGGTCGAGGATATAGCTGATGATGTTAGAGTGCTCCGCGGGCATTTAGAGGGCATTTAGGGGACCTTCATGATGAGGTGATAGCACTTCGAGGTAATATAGCAGGCAGACGATGAGTTGACGAAGGTGACG